GGAAATGCCATAACTCTGCTGTTTGTTAAGTTAGGAATTTGGAATTTTATATGGGTTTTATATTTGGCCAATCAATCCGACCTACCAAATTTCATAAGGATCGGCCGACTATATCCTATAGCTGCCATATAACTGATTGATCGGAAATGCCATAACTTTGGTGTTTGTGAAGTTAGGAAGTTGGGATTTTCTATGGGTTTTATATTTGGCCTATCAATCCGACCTACCAAATTTCATAAGGATCGGCCGACTATATCCTATGGCCACCATATAACTGATTGATCGGAAATGCCACAACTTTGGTTTTTGTTAAGTTAGGAAGTTGGGATTTTCTATGGGTTCTATTTTTAACCAATCAATCCAACCTATCAAATTTCATAAGGATCGGCCGACTATATCCTATAGCTGCCATATAACTGAACGATTGGAAATGCCATAACTTTGGTGTTTTTAAAGTTAGGAAGTTGGGATTTTTTATGAGTATTAAGATTGCATCATATGAATAATTTTGGAGAATATAATTTACAGAATATTCTGCAAGGGTATATCAACTTCGGCTCCGCCCGAAGTTAGCTTTTCTTTCTTGTTTATAAATAGATTTTTTAATCATTATTTTTAAAAATGTATGGCAAAACCTGCTTGCTATGCTACTTGATCAGCATGTGCTGATGCTCAAATTGCGCTTCATAAACTCTTGCGTGCAATGCAGTTTCATAATTAACTTGCCGCCTCCCCTTTTATTGTGTGGGTGAATCGGCTGCTTTCCTCGCAGATTAAATGACAAACATGCTATAAGATTTCACAGGGAAAACAAAAGCTGAAAACTATTTCAAGTCTAGCATAACCACAGAGAAACAAAGGCACGTGACGCCCTCTGTTGGTCGGCGAAGCGAAACTAAAGCAACCTACAATTCGAAATAGATCCCATTTAAAAATCGTGCCACATCCATTGATAAACCAAATCAATGTATACTAAAATGCAGTACAAGGCTTTAAAATAATATAATACATAGGCAGCCAGTATTTCCCAACAATTTTTAGTCAATCCAGTAATTTTTTTTAAGGTCTCTAGTTCGCTCTTAAAAAATAACAATAAATTGCGAATATTAAATGAACTTTCTAATACATTTCTTAATAGAAGAATATTTAAATTCTTAAATACATTGCCAGGCAGATTTTTCGTGCAATTAGCAATTAACCTAGTTGAATTTTTAAGTCTGTCGAGACGCCGCTGCATTTTTAATTATTTGCACGGCTCTCAATAGAAATTTATGCATGTCGCGAAATAAAGCTCCAGATAAATGACTTTCTGTCTCTTTCCCTTTCTTTTGGATGTCTCCCTCCCACTTATTCGGATACAAATTTTCGCCAGTCGAAGACTTTAGCCAGTGTAAATTGCCCGCAATTGTTGTCAATTTAGAATTGAAAAGAAGTCAAATGTTGAACAAGAATGCATGCATCATATATGCGCTTAACGGCATATATAGCCGCCCATCTGATGTACTTATACGTTTTTATACAGTTGCGGTACATTAAGGATATTGCATAAATCTTGTAACCAATTGTTTTAATTTTAAAATTGTTTATAAATCAATTGTCGACTAAAATAGAATTTTTGAAATCTGTTTAGCTTAATCGCTTTCCCATTTTTTGCCCAAAAAATTGTAATTTCGAAAAAATAAAAGATGTTTGCCACCCTCTTAAAAATCGTTATTTCGAACAAATCAAAGCATGACCATCTCTTGAAAATTTAGTCACTTGTTATCAGGCCAATTTGATTGTAGTTTGACATAAAACTTAACTATATGGTTTCTTTTCGCTTTTATAAAAACCGCGCCATGTGCGTATAGATTTCTTAACTTGTTTATAATTTGTCATACAAATAAACCAGATCTTGATCAAACAAAACTTATTCTGCCCAAAAATTCCATAGATTTAATCTCTAATTTTTTATGAAAGCGAAAAGAAACAATTAGGGTTAATTTTTATTTCAAACTACAATCAAATTGTCCTGATAACGAGTGATTCCAGGAAAAAATACAAATATTTCATAAGCACGAATTTTATCGATTCTACGCGCTTGGCTGAGAAAAATTCTTGGAAAATATAATTTTTTACAAAATATTTTTGCCCACATGGGCAATTTTTTATTTATCGAAATAAAGATTTTTAAGGGGTGGGCAAACCATTTTTTTAACCGCAGCTGTGTATCTGAGACATCAAGTGCCTGCTATCTCTGGGCAATTTTCACTTATCTCCGATGCTCCACATAACGAAAAGGTTTCATTATTGCCAGAGGTAGATGGGTGGTTGGGTGTATGGGTCTACGAGCGTATAGCCCCGTATATCATGTCTCAAGGTAATCTTTTGATTATCAAGTCGGGTAATCCGCCTGGAATTCGGTGTATTTCTTCACTTTGAGAAATTGTGAATAATTTCCTTGTTGTACTCTCGTTCACTTGCAGAGCTACTTTAGAACTGATTAAAAATGCCGAACCACATGAATTGAGGGGGAGACACGACGAGAACCAAGAGAGGCGACAAACAGACAGCAGCTGGAGAAAAATCGAGTGGAATATCATCCACAATGGCCATCAATCAGGGCAAGTACAAGCCAACGATCTGCGCCATCGATGAGGTGGATGACCGCAGTTTCAAAATGCACAATAGCCAGGACGAGATTGGGGGCAAGCAGCAGTTGCAGCAGATCGAGGGCAGCGAGACGGCTCCGCTGACCACCAATCAGCAGAAGCTGCATATGGACGATGGGTCTCATTTGACACCCAAGGATCTGGAGGCGGCGCGACAGGATGCCCTCAATGAGGTCAGCGGCGGTGGAGCCGGCGGCAGGACACCAGCGGCGATCACACCCAACTCCACACATCCTTCGACCAATGGACTAAGAGGTTAGAATCTGTCAACAAAAGCATTTCCCCTTCATATTCCATTCAAAATCATTAAATCCGATCAGTGTAAACCTTAAATTTAAACAGAGTTTTCTATGTCTTTTTTATTTCAATCAATCAATCATTTATAAAAAATAGAATTTTGAGTAATCACACAAGTATAATTGAAAATATAGTTATTCTTTTGCGTTTTCCTTTTTCTAAAAATAAATATGTAAGTGCATATATTCGATTGGATATAAATTCCGGAAAAATAATCAACAGATATATCAAAACAGTTAAAGGTGTTATTTTTGGTAACGAAATCAGTATTAAATTACTTAGTCAAATTACTCTTTCATTAATGTTTGAATTTTTTCCCTTTATGTAACCATTAGTAGTTTTTGAAAAATAGAAACAGATATATTGTGAAGTGTCCCATCCTCATTTCATTAATTTTCATGTTTTCCGTATCCTTGGCCATTGCCCGATGATAGCCTTGCTGCTTCCAGGCCGACGATCCTTCGACGCGCTGATGAGCCTGCCGCGCAAGCGCCGCATCTTGTACGTGACCACCGCCTGCCTGTGCGCCCTGCTCCTGCTGATTATCATCCTGCTGCTGGCCTTCTGGCCAGAGGTGCCCTTCTATCTGCGGGCGCCGCTCTGCCTGGAGAAGGAGTGCGTGGAGAGCAGCCGGCAGCTGCTCCTGTGGGCCAACACCTCGAAGAGTCCTTGCCACGAGACGTACGAGTGGGCCTGCGGCAACTTCGCCAGCGACTATGCCAACCACGACTACTTTGTGATCAAACGCGGCGAGTGGAACTACGAGACTTACAATGAGTATCAGGGTGAGCTACGGTTTACTTATACTTATTTATTATCACATATTTAATTCGTGTTTTGGTTTCACAGAACTCAATGAACTGAATCGCTTCATTTCAATGCTGCCAAGTTCTGGCGAGGGTGCCTATTCCGTGGAGTCCACGGTGAGCAGTCTGTATCGCAGCTGCCGCGAGATCGATTCCCTGGACAAGAGCCAGTCGGATCTGCTCCTGAAGCGGGCCATCAACGCATTAGGTGAGTTCTTGCAATGATTACCTTTAGTATTGGGGGTTATTAGGCAAATAATCTGCTAGACTACTCAAGTCGGTACCATACTTATAATTATCTCCTGTGCAATACAATATTTCGTTAAGTTGGTAATATAAAACCAAAATAAATATTTTAAATGTTCCATTTTGGTGTTTTCCTTTAACTTTTAAATAAAAGATATGACATACTTTTAGGCTTCTTGGTTACAGTGTGCTCGAAGCATCGACAAAAGTTTTAATAAATGTTTTAAGATAAGATTATTACTGTCATTAACCCGTGCGATATTTTTTAGTAATTAAAAGAAAATTTCCTTTAAAAAAAAAACCAGATACAAACCAAAGATATTACAATAGTTTTAATGGGGTTACGAAATGGCTGCTAAACTGTGATATTAAATGAATCGATTTTGACATAGACTTACATTCGGTATTAAAAATAACCGATTAAACTGTGTGCTATTGAGTTGGTTTAACAACAAGTTTTATATATGCTTACAATCCATAGATAGATATTTTGTTTGTTAGGAAGATATAAATAATGAATAAATCACTGTTTACCAACCATATTTTGACGAATTAACGTTGTTTTATTTTAATTTACTCAATCATTAATGAATCCATTCCCGAAATGCCTAAAACTGTTCAGTGTGATTTGTTTTGAGACTAAAACAACCTTAATCGTTTTTTAAATATTTAAAATAATCACGAAATAACCTTTTATACTTTAAGAATGACTTCTTTTAGTGCTGTAATCATTCTTTTTGTTTTTGATTTACTTGGGTCGTATAATCGTATTCCCGAAAATGGTTTCTGGGTAATTTATCATTAACATGGAGAAAAACCTGGGAGATTATGATATATGTATTTGTGCAGCCAAAATTTATCGTTAGACTGTGCAAGTTTTATTATTTATATTACAGTGTAAAAAAAACGATAAAACGATTTCTGTTTTATTAGAAGTTATACAATATGTTTTCTGCATTACCTCCCCCCTTTCACTGAATTAAAAGTATTCTTCATTTATATTCTTCTATTTCGTTTAAAATTTATTTATGCTTTCAAAAAAAAAACCTTTGACTATTGCATCACTGTACAGTAAAATTGTTGCTATGAATCCATACGAGTAATCATCTATTTGCCATTGGGTGGCAGATAGGTGGCACTCTGTGCATTCTTGATGATGGTGGCGCCGGAAAGGGCTCCTCCGGTGATTCCTCCAGAGATGCCGCCGGAACTGCCGCCGGTGGTCGTGGTGTAGCTGCCACCAGTCGAGCCAGTGCCTCCGGAAACGTAGTGAGAGCTGCCCCCAGTGGAGCCAGTGCCTCCGGAAACGAAGTGAGAGCTGCCAGTGCTGGCGGCACCAACAGCACCACCATCCAAGATGCCAACCACCGACTGAGCAGGGGCCACTCCGCCATCCTGGTGCTCTGAGGTTCCCTCGATCCTGTCGTATTCGGCTGCAGAAAAGAGGAGGTGTATTAGTATTGCATCTACGGTGCCATCCTGTTGACGACTCACCCTGAATCTGCTGCTGGGCATGAGAGGCCTCCGCGTCGGTCTTGTACTTGATGAAGAACACCTCCGGCTTGCTGGGCACCGTGGGTGCGGGCGTGGCAATATCGTTGACCTCCAGCTGGTTGTCCTTCTTGCTGAGCACATAGATGACGGTCTTCTCCTCCTTGGGCGCATATTCGGCGGACAGCTTGACATTGGCGTTGCTCGAGGATGGGGCCTTGATGAAGACCACACGGTAGTTCTTCTGGGGACGTCCAATCACCAGGTGCTTGGAACGCTCCAGATTCTCATGCTCTTCGGGTGCGGCGACGGTGAAGAACTGCTTGTGGATGATGGGCTCCTGGAAACCGCGCTGCACCTCCTGCTCCTGCTGCTGCTGGTAGGTGGGTGCCTGATAGCCGGCCAGTCCCCCAAATCCGATGTTGGGCGAGGGTCCAAAGCCGGTGAAGGAGCTGCCGCCATAGTTCGAGGCACCACCACTGCTGTAGGTGGCTCCTTGTCCGCCAGTCGAGTAGGTGGCTCCATGTCCGCCAGTCGTGTAGGTGGCTCCGTGTCCACCGCCAGTCGAGTAGGTGGCTCCATTACCAGCGCCAGTCGAGTAGGTGGCTCCTTGGCCGCCATAGTGGCTGACAGCATGGGGGGCAGAGGAACTGCCCACCAGGGAGCCAACGCTGGCCGTCTGGAAAGCACCCAGAGGTCCGTAGGAAGCCACCGAGGAGTGGCTGGGAGCGGCCAAGAAGCCGCCACTGCTGCCTCCGCTGGAACTAGAGGTGGTCAGGGAACCGGAGACACCACTGCCGTAGTTGTAGCCCTGGGGCTTGGCCTGGCTGAGAGCCACAAGAGTGCAAAGGGTCTAAGAAAAAAAAAAAAAAAAAAAAATTGTAATCCTCTGGTTAATCCTGCGGTTAATCCTCCTGTTAACTTACCACAAATAGACGCATGTTGAGTGGTTTTCAGTTGTTTGCTTTATGATGCTCTCCCTTGATGATTTGTGGCCTTTTATAGCCCGAATATTGGTTCCTCCGCTTCTTACTATTTTTCTATAATTTTTTTTTCCTCGCCGGTTTAATTAATTGCTCAATTATTTGGCTATGCCGAACCTCTGACATTTGACTTGTTTGTCTGCCCCTCTCTATCGCACCCAGTACCGCCGTCTCTTTCACGCTTCCTTTAATGTGACCTGTTGTCCATCGATGTTCGTTTTGTTTCTTTTCGGTGCGATCATAAATCATAGTCGAATACATATTCGCCGGCCGACGAAGTTCATCGCAGGTGGATCAATATCAATATCAATATCGATTCCAATCCCAACAAACCACACGAAATTCGGTTGCATTTTTTCCGTTTTGTCGCATTGTTTCGTGATTATCTACCCTCCATTTTCAAGTTGTATGCAAAATTTTGCATAAAATCCTCGATTGATTGATTGCTCTTTGGCGGTTTATCAAGTATGACGATATGTAGGAACGTGTTTATGTCTTTATTTGGTCAGTATTAAGAAAACATGCGCGTTTGGAGTTGTTAAAAATATAATATTTTATTTATTTCAAGAATTTGTTTCCTACATTACATATTTTACACAACCATCTGTGCCTATTTATGTATATTTATTCATATTAATATTAATATTTACGCTTAGCCTTATTTTAGATACTAAAAAGATAACATTTTGTTGATTATATTAAAGTCTTGAATTATAATGAATTCGCTCCTTTCTCATCAGTTTTTTTAACACTCTTAATCTATAATAAAATTGCTCTCGCTTAAACAAAATTTTTTTTTTCCGTTTTGTTTTCCAATTTTTATTAACGTATAGGCATTCATTATTTTATTTGACTTGCAATGTTAGCCTTTAAAGAATTTGGTTTTCCACCTTCGGAAATACTTCGGAAACGCTTTGATGGCAGTTTTTCTTTTTTATTCCAACGCTCCTCGTGTTCGCGCTTGAGTTTTTTCTCCCTAAAATGTGGTAAACAAAATTATTTTATATATTTTATTGTACTGCGCACTGCAACGTACTTTGCCTTCTCCGCTTTGTATTCAAAGGACAGAGTGTTAAACAGCCTCTTGTTAATTCTGAGGAACATCTTCAATACGGTGAAGACGATGGCCACGACGTCCCGATTCCAGTGATCCTTGGTGACGCGGAACAGGGTGGGTAACATGATGGGCATGATGACCTCATGGTTACTCACTATAAGCACAGTTATCTTCGAGTTGCCCCACAGATAAAGTGCTCGCTCGGCAATCTACAATTTTAAGGACGAAAGTATAACTCTACTTAGCATAAAGTACTATGATCTTCTGGATCTAAAACAAAAAGGTTTCAGACGTACAATAGGTCCTATATAGGACTATCATATATGCTTTTATACAACTTTACTTTTCACAAAACGAGAATCCCATTTCTATTCCTTAGGTATATTTTAAGTAAAGCTAGCTTATCTTAGGTTTGTGAAGTGAAGGGGAAAGTTGAGCCACCCTTTAAAGCACCTACATTCAATACCCCAACTCTCACCGGAAAACTTGTACTCGAAACGCATTTGGCAATCTGGCGGAACAACGGCACCTGGATCTTCTTAAACTCCTCCTGAACAGTCTTTGCTAGAATATCTTCGATCTCGTCCAGGAACAGAGCCTCCTTTTCGGTGGATGTCTTGGGCCAGAACTTCAGAAGGCCTAAAACCACTGTTTCGGTTAGGAGTGGATACTTATCGAGGTATTCCGTAATGCAAAGACGCAACTGAGTGTGGTAAAGGGGCAGTTCTTTGACCTTGTGCATCGGTATTATGATTTTTTCCAGAAATAGCTTGAATTCGGGCTTTAAAGGCAATCTAAGTCCACGGATGATTCTAATCGAAAAGAAAACCGGTGATTAATGGGTGAGACCAGGGGACATAACCAGGCAAAACATACTCGACGACAATATCCAAGAGTTCACCGATTCCATCCATGAACTCCGTTTCGTAAAGGAATCGATAGAATTTGTTGTTCATCTCCTTTCGTATAAAACTCCGCAACCCCACAAACTTTACGTAGATGCGCCGCAAAACCGAATGTAGAAATTCCCGCACTTGAGGATCCTTTGAGTTCAGTTTTTCCAATAGCTGTTTGTTCCAAACCCCCTTATTAAACTTGAAATTCCAAAGACCCTTTTTTTCCACTCACCCTCACGATAATCTGTTGGTCGATCTCACGCTTTTCGGTGGTCACACGGAATTCTGGAGTGTCCAAAACCCGGAAGAAGATATCATAAGCTATCTGCAGCTCAGCCAGGGAGGAATCATTATCATTCTTGGGAATGAAATCGAGATACCCTCTAGAAGCCACAATCTCATCGAAGGTATAAGACATCATGTAGAAAAAACTTTTTGTACAGATTAATAAAAATATAGATTTTTATGTGAGTATCACTATAAGTGTTCGTCGATAGGTGACAGTTTTAATAGTCATTTGTTTATTGATGATAAAAGCATAGGTAATGTGATACCGTAAAAACCGGCAATAAATATAAAGATTTAACAAAACGAATATACGTTGCTTAAGGCAACATATCATTATGTTATTAACAATATTATATAATATTAAAAAATTAAGTTCGGGGTACCATAGTAAAACTATTGAATGGAATTTGCAAAGCAATTTTTTTTTAATTTCGTACTAACTAAAACTCTAATTTTTGGAAAATAACTTTCATTGCAATGCTTTCATTTTCTTTCAGAACTTCTCTTTCAGTCGTTTTTACAACCATTTAAAGTAAATACATACATTTTTTTTTTAATAATAGCTATCTTGATTGATGGACGCAATTTGTTTGCTGTCTTTTTTGGTCAAACAAATGCCTTAAAGAATTGGTTGGTTCTTTTTTTATGGTTCTTTTCTTTTTGCCGGTGATTTTTCTTGACTTTTTTGGTGGTTTTTTGTGTTTGGTTCTTAGAACAGAACCTGCTTCCGTCATGGGACTTTAGTTTGACGTATTAAGCCATTGTTAACAAGAGCTTAATTATGTTGGCGGAATTAAAAAGCATCACTAAGAGCATTATTATTTTTTGAGCCACAGGCGCAGCAATTTATTGGCATTGATTTCTTACTGTGATTTGAATTATGAATTTGTTGTATACTCTTGCATTTAAAAAAAATCATTTCTAAATTCGTTTTCTATTGCTAGGTCTTTTTTGTTAATTGCAATTCATATTTTAAAAATCAAAAGCATTATGTGTTTTATATTACACTTTTACATATGATTTACATTTTTAATTAATCAGATTTTTTGGTTTTCTGTTGTTGCAATGGCATTTCAATTATTGTTGGGTTTTATTTAAAATTTCCGCTTTGATCTTCGAAGCTTTGACAAATCTTTGTTAGCCCATAAATTATATCATTAGTTTTGATACGTTGGCGGCATGGCAAACAAAGCGCCGAAAAGGATTTAAATTGCCCCAAAAAAACGAAACAGGAAATACCCTAGGCACTTATATTATTTTAATATTTATTTATCTATCAGCTGTATAATTTGATAACATTTATTGACAGTATATAGAGTTTCTTTCTTTGATTTTAATACACTCAACAAAGGGTATCCGAAAATATGCATAGATTGCGTTATGTCATGGTCTATTTTTAGTTAAGACGACTAAAAGCAGAAATTCCAAAACCACAAATCGTCAGACGATTGTTTCTTCTGTTTTGTTGATGAAAAATTTCAATATAATTGCCATAATTTGAATGCGTTTTGGGCAGGGCCGTTTTAGGTTTATTGTCTGTGTTTGCGCTTTTGGCCAAAACCAATGTGTGATTTATTTATATATTTTGGCCACCTTGAAGAGATAAATGTTGAAGAGGAAAAGAGGTGTGAAAAGCCACAGTCCGAGACTTAGAACCGCACTTTTTAGTTTTGAATTTTCGCCACGACCTTGGCTTGATTATGTTTTTGCCCAGCCACCAAGATTAATTGCTGCCAAATTGTTGCTGCTGCCAATCAAAAAAAGGTCGCCCAGTTGATGCCCAAAAATGGCTTTAAAAATCCCATTAATTAAATGCAAATGCAAATAAATCCAAAAGAAGATAAACTAGCCGAGCCAAAGAGGAGACACATCATAAAAAAACTGCATTGCCGTTTTGCGGTTTCTTTTTTTCGGTTGCGACTTGCAAAATTTATGCGTATTTTTCAATTTTGGCAAACTATGAATTTTAGACGAAAGTTTGAAGCCCCTTAGTCTCAGACACTACTGTTATAAGAAATTAAATTTACTTCTTTTAAATGTAATTTTTTTTCTATGTAAAATTGCTTTGTAATTTTTAAAGCTTTTGCTAATTCTATAAATGAAGACATACTGTTTATTATTATTATTCACTGAGGTTCTATTTATTTTGTTTGTTGAATTGGTTTTATATTTTTACACTTTATTTGTTTTTGATAAATTTTTTTATATATATTATTCCTTAAACTATTGAGCAATTTTTTTTTATTGAACATTTTTTTAATTTCATTCCATAATTGTATCTAGAATTTTCACTTTTAACATATCATAGACAACCAATACGCTCTTTGCAAACTTCTTCGAAAACCTCTCCTTTGTCACAGGGTCAAAGCACTTTTGCCAATATCTTTAAATACAAAACGCAAATCAGATAAAAAAAAATTCGCAAAAATTATACAACAAAAAAAATGAAAAGAAACCATTTTTATTTACGCGTTCGCCAAGTTTTGTTGATAAATTCGCTTGTGGAAATGGCTTATCAATTATATGCAAATAGCATGGAATATTCAACGATTGGCGGATATAATCGGGGCTTTAGAAAGACCGTTCCGCTGGCGCCAATATTGTGGAGGTGGGTCTATCGTAGTGATATCCAGTCGATTGGTAGGGAGTGGCTGGATATTGAGGGCTACTTAGTGCCCCAATCACCGATTTAATGGGTGCCACATAGGGCGCCAAAATTTCCGTATTCCCGCCCAGTTGATCGTACTGCGTTTGGATTTCCTTTTGGGCAGCCGCCGCCTCATCGTTCGTTTTGTATTTGATAAAGAACACGTCCGGCTTCTGTTCGGCTTGCGGTTTTTCCTGAGGCGCCACAATATCGGTGGCCTCCAGCTCCTGTTGCTTCCGGGTCAAAACATAGATCACGGTTCGCTCCTCCTGAGGCGCCAACTCTGCCGTATACTTCACACGCTCGCTATTTGCTCCCGGAGCTCGAATGAAGATGACTCGGTAATTCCTGCGCGGTTGTCCGATGACCAAATGTCTTGTTTTTGGCTCCACGTCCTCGGGATCTTCGGCGGGTGAGATGCTATAAAACTGCTTGGTTATAATCGGTGCCATGGCCGCATTCGGTGGTGGTAGATAGGAACGCGATCCTTGAGCCCAGGACAGACTTATAAACGACAGGGAAAACCAGACGATTATGTTCAGCATTTCGCGGATTTCAGAAGACAACTGATTTGGCTTTTCCATCTCAGCTTCACTTTTAAAAGAGATCTACTTAGATCGCACAGCCCGATTGGACTGAAAATTTGTGAAAATTAGCTTTCTTACATATTTTTCCGACCGCAAATCGCCCCATTAAAAGCTGCCAAAACAAAAGACTTGGGCAACGAACTTGCATTTGGTCAAAAAATTTATTGTGCGTGAGAATGCGGGAACAGAGAAAAGCTGCTATGTGCCCAGGGTCTTTACATTTCATAATCAACATATTTCCATTATGTTTCGCTACAAACAATAAACAAATTTGTTAAATGTACATATATGAAATTCAGTGAAATAAAAGTCTTGAAATAGCATATAAGCTTACTTTCTTGATTTTATTATTAATGACCCTTGTCAATAAAAATATCCAATGTAAATTAATAAATGATTTATTCAGTATTATAAAATATTACTTGTCTTACTAAAATCCCATTTCATGCGAATTACATTTTTAATCGTTTTCTTTAAGCATGCTGATATTCATTATCAGATGGTTACATACCATTTTCCATCATTCGTTCTTTAATCCACCAAGTTCAAGGCCATCAACGGCCTTGAGAAATCACTAGAAGACTCGATTACTCCAAAAAATCCCCTAACTTCATTTAAAAGCAATTAATTAAAGTTTGATGTTCCCTCTGCCCCGATTAGCTTCGGTTTTGACATACCTTTTCGTTATGCTCTTCTCACATCCCACCGATTTGCAGGTCATTTATCATCGGGTGGGTTTGGATTTGGATATGTATCTCGATTTGCATTTAGGCGGGATAAAGAAGTGCTGCCTATCGCCGGGGCGCATCCATCCAACGCCCTCACCGTTGACTAATGATCTTGGCCAAGTCGCGCTCTGTTACCATCTGCATCTTTCGGCCAATTCCGATTTCCGATGGCGATTTCAGTTATTTGTATTTGGTTCGCAGCCTCGTCGCTGATTAGTAGATTAATTTGAGCTCTTTTTCTCGTTTTCGGCTCGTTGTTGTCAACAAGAGACAATTAAAATATCAACAATGGCTGCGCGGTATTGGCAACTGACTTCATCGTGTGTGTGTGCATAGGATTTCCATAAATTGACGCGTAATTCCCACACTTTCATGTCGCATTTAAGCAAAATGGTACAGCTAATTTGATTTATGCTCGGTTTTATTAAGAAAAATTGTTTGGCCATACGTCGTGGATGGATAAGGCGATTGAGTCTATGAAGATGTTACCTCTAGGTCGTGTAGTTATTTCATTAGGGTCATTTCTAAAAAACCTTTGGAACAGCTCAAAAGATAATGGTGTGACTTGGTTGGGCAATTGGTTTTATCATTTATTGTGCTTGTAACTAGCCTCGGAATACATTAACTTCTTATGATAAGGTCATTATAGTGACTAGCGTTTAATTAAATACAAGTTACAACATTTCATTTTCACCTCATTTGTTATTTATTTGGTTCGGTTACAAGAACAAGTCAGCATATCAATAAAATTATATATAACTTAATCATATTAAACTGGTTTAATTACCTACAAAAAGTAAAAATGAAATAAATATTTTAAACTTTTTAACAAGCTTAAGTGACAGTTATTGCATTATATGTCCACATATTTTGCAATCCCTAACTTGACGTAGTTTTAATTTTCTCACACATTTATTTATTGTTGCAATTAAATGTCAATTAATATAAAATGCCAATAAAGAAGAGATAACCTGCCTCATGTCCAAATTGGTTTGTACTTCGTTGTTTTATTTCCTCGGTTCAATTTCACGATTAGTGGAGTATCTTGGGGTGCCATTAGCTCCGATTCAACATTAATCAATAGATCTTTGGCCCGAGTTTATGCAGCGTCAGTTTAATGACCCAATCAAACCAACAAAAAGGGGAAAAGCTAAAACCAAAATATAAAACTCTACTATTTAATTAAATTTGATGAGCTTATTTTGATTTCTCACTTCATTTAAGCTAATTTCTGTTGGAAATTTTGACGGCAGCTTTGGCTGTGTGGCTTCGATTTGGATTCCGATTTGGATTTGGACATATTGAAATGTGACTGCTGATTTGAATATCGGGGAAAACAAAGCCGAAATGTTTCTGCTTCGATTTATTTTTGACTTTGACTTTGATTTGGATTTCGACTTTAATTTAATTGCGCCGAAGAGACATTTCAATTTATTTATACGATTTTTATTAATTTTTTAAACGACTGACCTTAGGCAGCGTGCACAAAGCAAAAGGGTAAAAACTGATTTGATTCTTGTTTTTACTCAAATTGGCCTTTTGAAATGAAGGCTTATTGAAGTCATTAGAAATCACTGACTTACCCTCTCTTTGTTTACTATTAATATGATAGTTTTTATTATTTTAATTATTTTTTTAGGCACACATGAAATGAAAGTAAAACTCGATTAACTCTTTTGTTTAACTAAATAAAATGGTCAGTCATTTCACCAGGAACCCTATAAAAAATATAAACACATTTCAGAATTTTTTTTAATTTAAGCTTTTTATTAACAACAGTTCAATATAACAAAAAAAAAATACAAAAAAATATAGAGTGACTTCTTAAAAATATGCAACACAACAGGGTTCGAGAATGAGGGGAGGGGGTTTTTGTTTCTGATTTTGGGGTGATATAGGGATGCAGCTAGTGCTAATCCTCTAGTGCTTCAGCAAACTGGGCAGATACTGGGCACTGGGCGCCACTGCCGGCGGGCGGTTGGCGATCTGGCGGTAGTTGTAGCTGCCATCGGCATTCAGGCCATCCAGGCTTCCGATCACCGAGGTGATGGGGGCATTGTTGTCCTCCTGGTACTCGTTGGTGCCGCCCAGCTTGTCGTACTGACCCTGGATCTCCTGCTGCGCCTGCTTGGCCTCGTCATCGGTCTTGTACTTGATGAAGAACACCTCCGGCTTGCTGGGCTGCGTGGGCGCCGGCGTGGCAATGTCACTGGCATCCACATCGTTATCCTTCTTGCTCAGCACATAGATGACGGTCTTCTCCTCCTGCGGCGCAAACTCGGCCGAGTACTTCACATTGGCATTATCGCCGGCCGGGGCCTTGATGAACACCACCCGGTAGTTCTTCTGCGGACGTCCCAGCACCAGATGCTTCACCTTGCCATCGTTGCTGTGATCCTCGGGTGCGGAAACCAGATAGAATTTCTTATTGATGATGGGCGCCTGGGTGGTGCTGGCCGGGGGCAGGTACTTGTCACCGCCGCGATGCGGCTGGATGCTGACCAGGCCACCGGTGGAGCCGCCGATGAGGCCGCCCGGCGAGGAGCCGCCTCCGATGAAGATGTCCGAGCTGGGCTGCTCGTAGCCGTACTGGGGACGGGCCTGGGTCGACGCCACCAGGATCAGGCAGCTCACTAGCACTTGTTGGACGAACATGGTTGGTGGTATAATCCCCTGGCGAATAATCCTTAGTGGTTTTTGGTTTTTAGTTTTTTGGTTGCTTCGTTGACGAATTGCGGCGAGGCAATGATTGCATTTTGGGCCGCTCCACTTGTCTTAAATATGCTCCGGTTGTCCAATGGATGCCGCCTCTGTCGGCGTCGCCGTTTGCCGTTTATGCAAATGCAAATGCCGCATATAACATCACCCAAGCTCTCGATCCGAAGCGTCTCTGGGCCTATGGGTCTTGCGATCTGACCTAAAATTTATTCAAATTAGAACGAACGCAGCAGCAGGCCAGGTCGAAACCGAATCTGAAACCAAATCTGAAACAAAATCTGAAACAGAAACAGAAACCATGGTTTACATTCGACAAAGAGTCTTCTCTGGCATTGAACTTGACTGTGCCGGCGGTGACCCTGGGTGACGACTGGGCATTCACAATGGATTAGCAAATATCTAAATATACGGCTTCATAACTAGTTGCTGCGTTATAAATGCCTGCGAAAAGTATTGAATGGGTGGGCCTAGCGAATCTCATTAAACGGCACCTCATCATCACTGGCGGGATCAATCTTGGCCACAAACACGTTTGCTGGGTTTTTCTTATTTTTTTTTTCTACCGCTGCTCACGTCTGTCATTAGTTTCGGGCCTATTCGCCCATCAATTAATTTGCAAATATCTATAACAGTTGGATTAATCAATGAATATTTAAAGCCTGAAAGTATGAACGTTTCGGATTTAATCTAAAACTTTCGGGGATTGCAACAGGTTGAGGCGGTGTCTAATGTCTTAGGGAATTATTTTTGTGGTTCTTTATATCAAAACAATGAAATTTATGGAAGGAATTTATAACGAATTTAACGAGGTTTGATATTCCAACATGCGACCATTATTTCGCACGGTTTTGATTAAAAAAAAAAACCGAACTGATTTTTTTCGGATTTTGGTCAACATAATTTTCATAAGAGGTAGAATCATGATTTTTTTCAAAAAGTACAATTTTTTAGCTGTGAATGCCACTTGATTGGATATTTTACAACGAATTTAAGGAGGTATAACATTCCAACAAGCGAACATTATTTGGCAGACTTTTGATAAAAAAATCGAAAAATCCAGCTGTTTTTTCCCGGTTTTTGGACAAAATAATTTTTATTTGTATCTCTTTTTAATTTTAATATTTTTTATATTTTTATCTCTTTCAGTTAAGCTTGAACTTATTTTATTAGAAGTTTCCACTAATTGGATTTAGCACGTTATATCATTGTAAATTAGTTCTTCAATTAACAAAAACTCATTAGCCGAAATAAAAGCTTAATTTTTAACACGAGCTTATTTTCGCATTGTAGTTTCTTTTATTATGAATAACTTACAATTTTTCTGTTGCGAAACTTACAATAGTTATTTTAATACTGTGATCTTAAACAATGTCTTTTATTTATACAAATTTGTTTTCTTTGGAGGTAAATGTTTAAAACACAAATTCAGAACTCCAATTACAACATAGTCGGCGAACTTTGATTTAACTTAAGGATAATAAATGAAAATTCAAAAATAAATGAAAGGAGCTAGCTAAATTTTTTGTTAGCTGAACTCTTCATTTGGTGTAGGTGGTATTTGAAGCACCTTTATGTTGTTAAGATATGGCAAGATAATAATAGTAATGCTATTCTGAATTGAGTTAAATTTAATTTCCGTTGCCTAAAAAGATCAACACATTATCGCTTTGATTAGCCCTCTTGTTCGCTTGCCGGAATTTCCCACCGATTTCGGGCGATGTTTCGCTATTTTTGTCACCATAAATGGTGACCCCAACGCAAAATCGATCGCTGACTCAGCGAAGTAGCCGGGACTCGAACCAACATTCACCTGCCGTTTTGGAGGTCGCATAAATATTGCCAAAATAAACACATAAAACATAATTTGCACTCATCGAGCATATTTGAATAATGCCTTTGAATGGATTTATGGCCCCGGAGATTGATGACAGAACATAAACGCATAAAAACGGATTGACAATTTTGTGGCAACAATGAAGGCGATTGGAATGGGTAATGCATATTCTAACCGATTTCGATAACGACTAGACTAATTTAGCCATTAGCCGATCAGCGATCACAGATCGCATATCGCCTGTGGATTATGGAAAACCGAACAAAATGATAATTATCAATTAGGCATTCCATATTTATAACCACCTGCGATCGCTCGCTGTGCTGGAAATTTATGTAACATTTTATTGATGATGACAGTAATAGAAATCGAATCGAGGGACAAATCTTTGATCTTTCGATCTCAATCTTCTTCGGACCTCGGGTCTCCGTGGCTACCGTCCGTCGCGGCGTTTTATTTAGTAGGTGTGATTATCTTTATGCAAAAGATCTGGCCGCCGCCCATTGATATGCAGATCCGTAGATCTCCGAGAAAGATACGGAGATAGTATCTGATTGTGTCTTTTTTCTTTTTTTTCAGCGCCCTGTAATTGATAATAAATTGATTTTGGGGCGTGGCCCGCATCGAAACCCATTTGCCGCATAATATATCTAGTATAGCTAATTTTTATTTAATACCCTTAGGTATTTTAATGCGACTTGCATTGGCCCGAAAGCGACCTTGGCGGACTGGGGCTTGCATACCGATAGTGTTAGCGATTCCGATTCCAATTTCGATTCCGAGTTGAGTTTCTTTTAAGTCGCTAATTTATTTACCCGAGTGCGAGTGGCTTCGCCTCCGTTGAGTTGAGTTGGCCCTCCGAGATTGGTCGGCGGCACATGGGTTGAGCGGGCCAGTCGATCGGGTTGAACAATTATGAGCAGCTTGCCAAATAGTTGACGCTGTCACATAGATTAGGTGTTTTTTTTTTTTTTTTTTTTTTGGGCGACATCGCGGGCTTACCGATTATGCAAGCTGCAGGCGGTTTAACGGGTCGCTCATCCAGGTGATGGACTCCAGGGTTTTCCAAATTTTAGGTGTAAATTAATCTTTGATTGTTCATATACACATTCTCCGGTTTCAATTCCTTTTTAATTGGTTTCATGTGAAAATACATCTTAACTTTAGTATTATAATAGCCTTAAATAGTATTTAATTCTTGCTTTGTCATTTGGAAATTTATCTTCGTTCCAATGTTTAAATACTGTTTTTGCTTTTTTCTTTAATTTAACATTAAATTTGAGACTGTGGGGTGTTTTAAAACTAAAACGTTGTTAAGTTGTAGTATTTCTGTTAATCCTAATAACCATTTATTCTCACTTTGTCGATTTCCCAACCAAATAAACAGGGGTTTTACATTTTTTGAATGCCTATAAGACTTATATTTTATTTAAAAAAAAAAATGTACACAAAAAATATGAATTAATGCCGAAGGCAAAACTAAATAGGAAAAATCGCAAAGGTTTCCCCGGCGGAATTCCACTGCAATGGAGCCCAAACCCAAGGGACGATCCCATCCAGTCCGAATCCCCCGAGGCTCCAACAGTGTGTGTCGTCCAGTGGCAGTGGATGTGGGGTGGTGATGGAGGATTGAGCATTGCTGGTGACCCGGAGATTCACCTACTTCCTCACTGGCCTCACGGGCAGGTAGGTGGCCTGGGCATTGGTGCCGGTGGTCACGGTGCTGATCACCTGGCGCTGGCTTCCCTCCGCGTCGTAGGCTGATCCGCCATCCGCGATCGGGACTCCGCCGGTGCCCACGATGTTCAGGCTACCGCTGGCGTCGGTCACCACGCCGGAGGCGCCATTGTCGCCCAGGCTGCCGATCACGGAGGAAACGGGAATCACACCCTCGTTGCTGGTCTCAGAGCTTCCGCCCAGAGCATCATAGTTGGCTGTTTAGTGGGCAAAATATTTAGTTGATTTAGTTAAGTGGTTAAGTGAATAACAAATGATTACTAATTATTACATTATTTTTATAGAGTCTCGAAACTGTGTTATTTGCTGAGGCGTCTTATAATAATAGTCACAAAATTAAATTGTTTTTAAGTGTCAAGAGTAAAGTATTAATAAGTTATAAAAAGTTCTGAAGAAAAAATTAAGTTCAGATTGTTAAAAGGATGTGTTTTTTGCTTACTATTACTATATAAATAGATTACTGAATCTATCTATCTTACTCACAACAACGTACCACAGATAGTATAGAATTTTGTAGATTTTTGTGACTACCTAGTATTTTCTTACTTGTAAAATTAAATTCTAAAGAAAATAAAATATTATTTCAATTTTTAAGAGATAGTTTAGAATGTAACTGTCCAACTTCTTTGGATTATAGTTACTGCAGCTTTGTCGACCACCTAAACTGTAACACTAATGTATTCGAACAAGGTGAATCCTTTGCCAAAAGTCTAAATTCATGCTAATTCCCACTAGTCCTTGGATAGCTTTATTGGTGTACTCACCCTGAATGGTCTGCTGGGCATGGGCCGCCTCCTGGGCAGTCTTGTACTTGACGAAGAAGACCTCCGGCTTGTTGGCCACCGGACGCTGTGTGACCACCTCGGCGCTGACATCCAGGGCGTTGGACTTCTTGGACAGGACGTAGATGGCGGTCTTCTCCTCGACAGGAGCCACGTTGGCGATGATCTTGGCCTTGCTGGTGGTGGAGGTGGGGGCGTTGATGAACACCACACGGTAGTTCTTCTGGGGCCTGCCCACGTTCACATAGCGCACGATCTGCTGGTCATCGTGATCCTCGGGAGCACTGTGGATGTAGAAGTGCTTGTTGATCTGGGCGGGCTGGAAGTTGGCCAGGTGGCTGATGTACGACTCCTGCTCGTTGTAGTTGATGGTGGGACCGGGCTGCAGACCGGCCAGGCCAATGTTGTCGTTCACGATGGCGCCGCCGCCGCCGGAGGAGGACTCCAGCTGGTAGTTGGAGCTACCAGAGCCGCCAACCTGGTAACTGATGCCGCCCGAGGAGCCGGAGGAGCCCAGGTTCAGCTGGCCAAGGGTCGGTGCCGAACTGAAGTAGTTGGTGCCAGCGGCGGTGGGCTGGTAGGAGGTGGTCACCGTGGTCAGGGGAGCGCTCACCACCTGGTTGGCCACCAGGCTGCCGCCGTTGTAGCCACCTGCCTGGTAG